GAGGATCATGGTTCAAAGCCAGCCTGGGCAGGGAGTCCATGAGACTCTTATCTCCAATTGACCGCCAGAAAACTGGAAGTGACACTGTGGCTCAAGTGATACAGTGCTTGCCTTGAGCTGAAGAGCTCAGGGATAGCACCCATGACCAGAGTTTAAGCTCCACAACTGAAAACAAAACAAAACAAAACACGGATTTGGTGAATGGCAACCCCTTTGTACAACTACTTAAAGATACTAAAATGTAATTTAAAAAATACTTGCTAAACATATGTGAGTTCCTTGGTTCCATGTCAATACTGAAAATAAAAGTCCTACAGGGTCACTTTCAGGAGAAGGTAAGTGTATGGTAACAAAGTAGTCCTGGATTACACACTATCAGGGAGCCTGAACATTCACTTCTGGGTATGAAATATACAAACACCATGTTCCTGGCACTGGGTCTCCCACATTATTACAATATGCATTGGATATGCCAGTTGTGGGATACTCATACCTGTAATCCTAGCTTCTCAAAAGGCTGAGATCAGTGAATAACAGTTCCAAGGCAGCCCAGGCAGGAAAGTCTGTGAGATTCTTATTTCCAATCAGAAAACAGCTGAAAATGGAGGTATGACTCAAGTGATAAGAGCACCAGCCTTGAGCAGAAAAAGCTAGAGGAGAGTACTAAGACCTGAGTTTAAGCCCCTGTACCTGTGCTAGTGGATCTGAGGATTATGGTTCAAAACCAGTTCAGGCAGGAAAGTCCATGAGACTCATCTACAAGTAGCCTTGTACAAAAAAACTCAGGGACAATGACCATGTACTGAGTTCAAGCTCTAGGACCACCACCAAAAACAATAAACGAATACTGTATTTTGTGGAGGTCATTCTGTCACCTGATTGCAAAAGACCTTCTGATTGAGAACACAGCATCAGGACTCCCTGTGGATAGTAAAGAGTTGAGTTTGTTATCTATATGGCCTAGAGGTCAGAGTATCTTCAGTATCTTGCCTGTCTAGGAAATTGGTAGGGGTAGGTTTCTAGAATTTCCAATCAGGTTAGGCCAAGAAAGGATCAGAAAGATGTACAATGGGCAACAGAGCAGTACCTTCATTGTTTGCTCATTCATTCTAAACTTTGTGAAGAAGGCCCTCAGTTGTGAGCAGCCATCTTTTTACCTGCACCCCTCTGGGTTCTGATTATAACTCTACATATAAACTGAATCTTTGTAACTTACTAGCTCATGGATACAGATGAAGTATGTACTTAAAATTTCACCAGTTCTTGTTCCTCACTGCTCATATAAGAACTCTACTCCAAATATAAAATAATCCAATATGTGTGAAAATCCACAGGTTACAAACCAATCTATTTTCATCATATCTCATATTTCCTTCCTTCCTCTTGGCCTCATCTTTGTATTCTGTTCACATAGCTGCTTAGGAACTAGTTCCCAGCTGGGCACTGGTGGCTCATGCCTATAAACCTAGGTACTCAGGAGGCTGATAACTGAGGGTGGCTGTTCAAAGCCAGCCTGAGCAGGAAAGTCCATGAAACACTTTTTGTTGGTCGGTCGTGGGGCCTGAACTCTGGGCCTGGGAGCTGTCCCTCACAGCTCTTCAGCTGTAGACCAGCTCTCTACCACTTGAGCCTCAGCCCCACTTCCGGCTTTTTCTGCTTATGTGGTGCTGAGGAATCAAACTGAGGGCCTCATGCATGCAAGGCAAGCACTCTACCACTGACCTACCTTCCCAGCACCTTTTAAAAAAATTTATTTATTTATTTATTTTGTTGGTTGTGGGGTTTGAACTCTGGGCTTGGGCACTGTCCTTGTGCTCTTCAGCTCATGGCCAGTGCTCTACCGTTTGAGCTACACTGCCACTTCCTCCATGAAACTCTTATTTCCAATTAACCACCAAAAAAAAAGCTGGAAGTGGAGCTCAAGTGGTAGAGCACTAACCTTGAACAAAGAACCTCAGAGACAGTGTCCAGATCCTGAGTTCAAGCCTAAGGACAGCATACCCAAAAAAGTTAGTCACCCCTTCTCAATCCCACCCACGTTACAACTGCCATGCTCATTGTGAGGATATCGGTGAAGTTGTCAAGGTTCTACCTCTGGATTACCCCAAAAGTTTCTGACCATAGAGATACCTGGCCATGCATCAGACATACTCATGTCTGACTCTCAGTTTGAGTTCATGATTAACACCTACTTGCTAAATACATGATGCTCAGGGTTCCATGATGGCACTATCTAAAAGCAGGTTCTGGGATGCTATTACATTTCACGGCTCAAATTTGAGGTTGGTGACTGGTAGGGACATAGGCTGGGTTTGAATGGCTCCTCTGTGGCTGAGGGAAAATGTTTTTCAGATCTAGGTGTGAGGTTCAGTCAGCAAGTGCCAGGGACAGCTGCTCCCTCTGGTGGCCTGTGCTTTCAACCAGGGACAAGGAGGTCAGCTTGAGCAGTCTTATGCCATTCATCTGAGTTCCTCTTAATACTATTCCTGAGTGCAAGGCATTTAAAAGCCAGCTTCTGCATCAGAAAAACTCACACCGAGGAATGTGCTATTCAAAATAGGCATTCCATATAAAACAAAAGGATTGTGGAAATGTTCTTGGTTACAGGAGGCTAAAAAGACTTGACAATTATATGCAATTCTTCATCTTTGACCAGATCTTAATCATAGAAGAGTGAAAATGGAAATGATACAAAGGAAATTTCTGGGTCAACAGACAAAATTGGAGTATGAACATGAGATTAATTTTTAAAATTACTGTATTGTGAATGTTGCTGAAATTATGCTGTGGTGACATAGGGAGTATGCTTGTTCTTAGGAAATGCCCATTGAGTTATTCCAGGATGAAGGGCCCTGAGTCATATGTATAACACACTCACTCAATCTCTCTCTCTCTCTCTCTCATAATGTATAACACACTCAATCTCTCTCTCTCACACACACACACACACATTTATGAAAGAGTGCACATGTGCAAATGATAAAGCAAAGGGAATAAAATGTTATAGGTAAACTTGAATAAGGGATACATATATATATTTCCTTTTGTACCTTTTTTGAAATTTTGAATGTTTCAAAATGTTTAAGACATTTTAGAAGCAGTTTCTGTGCAAGCAGTCAGAATCTGCTAGTGCATGCCTAACACAAGTCTTCCTGTGGCAAACACGAGGAAGGAGGGTATGGCTGTGTCTTATCTAGTATGGCTACTGGACACATGTCAGATAGCCAGTTGCCAAGCAACACCTGAAGCCACTATTTCCTGAGCTCCTTTATCCTAAAGACATGAAAAAATAACAACAAAACATTTGCTCCTAATGATTATCAGTCCTGAGTATTGAAGACATTTTGATTATGACAGGGAGTATCTATCAGTTCATTCATTCATCCATCCATGCACCCAACCACTCACTCAGTAAATGCTCTAAATACCTACTTACTATGTGCTGAGAACTGTGCCAGGAGCTGGGAATGCAGCCTGGGTACAGAATAGATGCAGGTCTTGCCATAAGCAGACCTTTGTGGGGTTAACGGTGGAACTCAATGGCATAGCTTAATATGTATATGCCTAATATGTGTGAGGCCCTGGATTCCATCCCCAGCACCAAAAAAGAAAGCCTGTGAGCTCATTGAGGGGTGTATTTGCCACCACATGAATAGATCTATGAGGTGACCATGAAGTAGACTTAAATGCCATGGCCTTTAATCAGAGACAGTGGACCAAGCCCTGTGAATCTGACGCACATTTGATCCCCTCCCAGGATCTTCTAGGCAACTGAAGAGGATACATAGTGCTTACCTCTGTTTCAGCTTAGCTCTCTGCCTTCAATCAGGATCAGAGAAGGGTCAATGAGTCATTCTATCAACATCCCTGGGTTGATGGTCCAGGTGAGCTTTGGAAAACAATCTTTCTCCAGATTGCTGCCTGTGGGTAAATGTGGCAGCTATACCCATAATGCTTTTAGAAGGAATCCCCCCTCCCCCGTGCAAAAAAAAAAACCCACACCAATTACTCTCATGTGGCGACAAGAATTCCATCACTAGGGTTCATGACTTGCTTCCAAATGACAAGAATAATGACCCTTGGGGGACAGTTGGTTCCTCTCAACCCCAATCCCAGGTATGATGCTGAATGTGATGCCTGATACACAGTAACAATGCCTGGAGGAGGGCATCAAGTTGATAATGTTGGGGAGAGAGTTCTTAAAATCATTCATGTGTGTATGTGTGTGACTTGCATATGACATACGTCCTTCCTCTCCTTGGGTCTCAGGATAGAGACTGAGATTGACCTTCACCTCTGCTGTATTCACAATGGGGAAGGGGAGGTTGGGGGTGGGGCGTCAGGGGAGGGGAAGCCCAGCGCAAAGAATTTTCCAATTCAGATCCAACAAATGTTTACTGAGTCCCTACAAGCTTCCAAGCCTTTACTTTATACTTTGACACATTTTATATCATGTAATCTTTAACAACAACCCTTTAAGGTATTGTCTGCATGTTACAGATGAGAAAACAATCGCAAAGAGATTCATTGATTTGCTCAAGTATATCATACAGCATTTTTTTTTACACACGCACACACTACACTGTCAGCTGAGGCCTGTCTGTGCTGATTGCTTATCTTACAACATTTTTGTCTTCTCTACTTTTGGAATGACTGCTTCTCATATACAAGCCCCCTTATTTCTTCTTCTTTCAAAAGCCCATATGGGCTTTTTTTTAATACTGCAATTGCATTTAATAGCACAAAAATCACAAATACAAAGAAACTGGCAAAGGTGTTTGTCAATGAGATATCCCTGCCTCCTCCACTTTTCTGCTTTCAGACCCATGTCCACAATGAATGGGCTACATTTTTTTAAACTTTTTTTTCCTCCCAAATGTGTAACTGTTATGTGATTGGTCAATTGAAGCTGAAACACCCATGGAGAAAGATGTTTTACGGTTACAAGGGCACAACAACCCCCCACACCTCCCCCCTCCCGCCCCCACCTTCCCACACAACCTTTTGGAGGAATATAGATGTACCAGTGTCACGATTTGCCTGCTTCTGCCTTTCCCACCCAGAGCATTCCTGACATTTAATTTCCTTCAAGTGACTGCTTTGACTAGAGCCTCTTCTCCCTCCCCTTCTATTTTCTTTTCCAATCGGGACCTTTTGGACACTGGATACTGTTCAGTCCTTACTCTGTCAGGCCCCTGGGCCATGGTCAAGTAGGTTCTTTAAATCTCGATGCCAGTTGTAGCACAGGTGTCATCATCTTCCATTACAGGTAGGTCGGTGTGTCGCTTCAGTAGGCTTGTGTATTCATTTCTTTCACTTTTTCGGACTCATGTTCCAGGAGCTGTTTGTGATAAAACAGTAAATACCCTTCACTGTCCAGTACGTCCTTAATGCTGGCCTTGGTGATGACGGCATCATCACACTTGAACCACTGGTCCTTGTGGTGCCGGATGAAGCTGGTGTAGTGACCACTCTCCAAGGTTCCTTGGTGATTAACCACAGCAAACAAGGAATACTTATTCTCATTGTTTCCACTATTGGTTGGCAGCTGCAACTGTCCATTCATTCTGCTCTCTTTACTTGAGGCCATAAACGGTGTCATATCCAGCTCAAGAGGAAAGGAAATGTATGTGGTGATCTTGCGCCTCTGTTTGGCTGAGTGTTCAAAGCGTTTGAAATGAAAACAGGCAACAACTGGTAGTTTCTTCATTGTGAGCTGTTTGGTAGATTCCTGGTAGCTTTGGCAACTACCACATTTGATTTTGGCACTGCTTCCTAGGTGCTCTGGCCTTGTAAACCTCCGTAAGCAGTCTGTGAGGGTAGTGATTCCTGGTGTGTGGTTTTCTCCATTCACGCTGCTCTCCCTCCCTGGACTCATGGGCCAGAAGGAGGTGCAAGATCCAGGCAAGTCCAAGCTGATGTCCCAGCATGGGTCTATAGTGGTAGAGACACCATGGCAGGCTTGACAGGTAACATCAGACTGCAGGCCACCTGTGAAGATTTGGTCTATGATGCAGTTACAGTGGTTGGGGTTGTTAGCTGCCTTGCCTACATCATCACCTTTGCAGTGCCTGTGTAAGACATCTAACGCCGCAATGAGAAACTCGTGGGCATCCTGTTGCCTGTACCCTGCTAAATGGCGGGCATGTATCCACACCAGGTGCAGCAATTTATAGGGAACGTGAGGAGACGGGTTTCCAGAATACAACTCCCGAAAGAGAGAAGACATCTCACAGACCAGACACAACTCCGGGCTGGGCATTTCGCATCGGTGCCTGTCGGAGAGAAAGAAATCTCTCAGGATGGGAGTGTGGGTCAAGGCTTGGACGATGCAGTTCATAAAGCACGTGTTGCCAAGATTAATGAGTCCTCTTAAGCCGATGGTAAAGCTGGATGCAATTCTCCGTCTCCGTGGGTTGTGCCCCAGCAGTTCTAACTCGGGTTTGGTTGTTTCCCAGGTTGGATACTTCTCACCGGGGCCTGGCACTGAACACTGCTGGTGAGAGACCTCAGTTGAGGTGGAGGCTTGTAATTTCAAGGCTTCTCCTTGCTCTTCTTTGGCAATTTGCTCAATATCTTTGTCATACACATAGTCCTTACACATGAAGCAGTATATACCTCCGTAATAAAGGTCTACTGCTAAGTTGTGTTGTTTTGTCTCGGCGTGCTCATGAATGTGTTTCTCTGTGAAGCAGCCAAAGAAGACACAGGAAAGGCAAGAGTGGAGTCTGTTCAAATGGGTGCCACACACATGGCAGATGCACGACTTTGCTTTGCTTTTCCTGGTCTCCGGAGTTCCACACCACACGAAGCATTGGTAGATGACCCGCAGTTCCTGCCTCCAGTTCTCTCCCACCTTAAAACTGTTCACGTGGGAACAACCTGGTGGCCCCAGCGCAAAATCCACATCCAGGCAGCCGCCCCCAGGGCCGCGCCGGGGCCGGGGCCGGGGCGGGGGCCGTGGCCTAGGCTGCGGCGGGGTACGGAGCCGGGTCTGGGGCCGGGGCCGGGGTCGGCGACGTGGGGCACGACTGCGGCGCGGAGAGGGATCGGGGGGCCGCGAGGGATCGGAGGGAAGGGTAGGGGGAGGAACCTCGTCGCTGCTGCCCACACCACCGCCGCTCCGCTCTGGGGTCTCATCTTCCAGCTCCTGCTTCGGCTCCCCCTTCGGCTCCTGCTCCGCCTCCCCGACCGGCTCGGGTTCGGGCTCGAGCTTGAGCTCAGCCCGGCGGCCCGGACTCTCCGCCGTCTCCACCTTCCCGGCAGCGTCCACCTTCCCCGCTGTCGTCTCCACCTTCTCGGTGGCGATCACCTTCCCCGCCGCCGCCTCCACCTTCCCGGCCGCCTCTACCTTCTCCTCTACCTTCGCCTCCGCCTCCACCTTCCTCTCCGCCTTCTCCGCCTTCTCTGCCGTCTCCGCCTCCTCTCCCTCCTCCGCCTCCACTGGCAGCGGCTCCTCCCCCTGCTCGCCGGGCTCCAACAGCCACTGGGCGTGGCGGCGCGGGGGCCACGCAGACCTCGGGTGTCCCCCGCCCGGCTGGAGGGAGCGCGGTGACTGAGGCTGCTGGACCCAAAAGGGACTTTCACTGAAGGAGGCGGCGGCGGAAGCAGGCGACGCCCCCGGGAATCCTCCCGCCGAAGCCCCCTAGTGGAGGCTGCTTCTGCAGCCAGGCCCCGTTTCCTTTAATTCAATATTTCCCAAACTTGCTTGTTCACGACAATCACGTGGGGAGCCGGTTAAAATTACAGATTCCTCGGCTCCGCCCGTAGGCTCACTGAATCACTCGGGAAGGGAGGTGCTCCGGAACCTGGATCTCTAACTGGGGCCTGAGAGACTGCTTAGGATCAGGCAAGTTTGGGAAACACAGCTCTAATTCATTGAGGCTGGCGGGAAAGGGGGCGGGGACCGCGCAGTCTCTATAAGGCGCTTCCAATGCTCAGCTCCAATCGCTGCTCTGACCCCCTTCGTCGTCTCCTCCCCTCTCCTCGTCCTTCCCTCGTCCAGCCTGGCTTCCCTTAGCGCTGCGGGGCCGGGGGCCGAGTGGTTACCAAGGCCAGAAACGCTTCTGAAGCTGTGAAATGAACCCTCACTTGTGGAAGCCTGGGGAGCGCAGGCAGACCCCCTGTGACAGCAGCATGCCTGCAGCTGAGCCTGACCACACAGCCTGTCCCAGCCTCCCCTCCCACCGAGACCTGCCCTCCCCACGAGGAATAAAGCCCCAGCTCCATTTGGGGGGCAGCCCGTGCCCCAGATCTGGAGGGGAAGTGCTCCCAAGGCCACTGGGCTCCAAGTGGCAAGACTCTTGCCCATCTTATCAGCACTCTGACTGGTCTGGGCCGGCTCCTTGCCTCCACAGGCTCCCAAGGCCTTGGGTGGGATGAGGGTTTGGCAGCCAGCCTCCTGGCTCAACAGCCCAGGGCAGAAGTCAGCAGCCCACAACAGAACCCAGCTCTCCTCTCCAAGGCCAACGGGAGGAACAAGCGAACATGAGATCATTTCTATAGTTGGGACCTCTCCCCCAGGCTGAGAAAAGGACAGACACCCTTAAGCCCTAGAAGGCTCCTGGGTGGAGAGAAGCAGATGGGATATCTGTCCGTGGAGCTGCCATGGGGAAAGGGGTTAGGTGCCAGTCGGAGGAGCTTCTGGGAATCCCTGTGTGGAGGGTCAGCAGCACCATGAGGTCCTGGAGAAATGAACAAGCAGCTCAGATCGTGAGAATGGTTGTGGGAAGCAGCTGCAGCTGTGAGTCCTGAGGATCAGAGCCGAGTGCAGGGATTGCAAATCCTGGGCCCAAAGGAAGTGTTCGGAGTGTCTGGTTCCTGAGTCCTAGTGGCATTCGGCTGTGACCAGTGCACACTGCCTGGTTTGTAGGGCTGTGCTGTCTGTAAAGCACAGCCAATTATGCATGTCACCCTTCAATGGACAACCTCTAGGGAGAGGGTGGAGTGGGCCACCTGGGGTTAGCAGCAGATAAAATCAGGCATCCTGAGCCCTTAAGGAGGCTACCTGGTTCTTGTTAGACTAGGGTTGCCCTCCTGCCTAAGTCAGCTGTCTTCAGTTCCTCTATGGCAGGCACCTGGTGTAACTGCATGAAGAAATGCTGTGATGGTGGATGCTGCTAAAAGCAACTTTGGACATAGAGTACAGGAGAGTCAGGGGAGGACTCTTATCCCCCTTTTACATGGGAATGGACATCCAAGAGACCTAAAGATATCTGTACTTAAGAGTGTGGGTCATTGAAGAATAGCCATCTTAGCCAGGCATTAGTGGCTCACTCCTGTAATCTTAGTTACTCAGGACGTTGAGATCTGAGGATCATGGTTTGAACGCAGCTATAGCAGAAAAATCCAAGAGAGGCTTACCTCCAATTAATTGCCAAAAAGCTGGAAGTAGAGGTTTCACTCAAATGGTAGACTGCCAGCCTTGAGTGAAAAAGCCAAATGGGATCTTGAGGCCAGGAGTTCAAGCCCTAGTACTAACAATGTGTGTGTGTGTGTGTGTGTGTGTGTGTGTGTGTGTGAGAGAGAGAGAGAGAGAGAGAAAACGCTAGAAAAAATAGCTGTGTTAGCTTGAAGTTGTCTAACTTCCTGAAGTAGCCTACACCTGGTCTATCCCCAGGCCAATGTGTTCTGAAGTAGAAGGCTCTGCCACCATTCAATCAACAGAAGTGTATTGGACACCCCCACCCACAGGCAGGCATTGTACTAGGAGCTAGGGACACAGCACTAAACCAGAGAATTTACCCCTGGGCTAGAATCAGGACTGGCTTTTCCAGAAGGCACATATCACTAAGTAAGTGTCTAGATCATTAAGAAACAGGGGCATCTCTTTCTCTTTCTCTCCCTTTCTCTCCCTTTCTCTCTGTCTCTGTCTCTCCCTGTCTCTCTCTCATACACACACACACACACACACACACACACACACACACACACACACGTAAATATACCAGAAGCAATTTAGCATTTGATTTTTTTTTTTTTTTGAGGTCCGGTCGTGGGGCCTGAACTCTGGGCCTGGGCGCTGTCCCTCAGCTCTAAGCGCTCTACCACTGAGCCACCTTCCCAGCCCCTAACATTTGATTTTTTAAAAGGAGTCCCCATGGGGAAAAAAATCACAACTTAGTTGTTACTTCCTTACATTCATTTCCTCACTGTGTATTGCTTTTGTTTTGAATCACATGTGCAGGGTGTCACCATAATTTTTTAAATGCTTTGTGCTCGTGTGAGTCTCGATTCAGTCTTGGGAAAATGTCACCATTCTTGCCTCACAAAGACCTGACAGATCCTGGCAGCAAGGTACTAGCAGCTTACTCCTATAGTCCTAGCTGTGCAGGAGGCTGAGATGTGAAGATCCCAGCTTGAAGCCAGCTTGGACAGAAAAGTCCATGAGAGGGGCTGGGAAGGTGGCTCAGTGGTAGAAAGCTTGCCTTGCATGCCTGAGGCCCTGGGTTCAATTCCTCAGCACCACATAAGCAAAAAGAAAAAAGCCGGAAGTGGCGCTGTGGCTCAAGTGGTAGAGCGCTAGCCTTGAGCTGAAGAGCTGAGGGACAGCGCCCAGGCCAGAGTTCAGGCCCCACGACCAGACCCCCCCCCCAAAAAAAAAAAGTCCATGAGAGTTATCTCCAACTAGCCAGCAAAGTCTGAAAGTAGAGGTATGGCTGGTGTGGTAAACTGCCAGCCTTGAGCAAAAAAGTCAATCGAAAACATGAAGGCCTGAGTTCAAGTCCCAGTACTGGCATGTACACACACACACAAAAAACAGCTCCTGGAAATCCATGTGCCTAGATGTTAAAAACAGCTCTGACCACAAGGTGGCAAAAGAACAAATGACAATCTGTGTGTGTGTGTGTGTGTGTGTGTGTGTTGTATGTTTATATAAAATTATCAGTCTATATCAAAACACTCTCTAAAAAAATGTTTTGAAAAGCTTTGTGCTCCTTCACACATTTTTCATTGACATCTAAGATTTTGCATCATAAATGTCAGTTGGCTGCAAAAATGTAATTTCTGACAAGCACTAACCTTCAAAAATAAAACTGTTACGTCAGTATTTTACACAAATATGGTAAAACTAAATATCTTAGTGATTTGTGTTATCATCTGTTTTAAAAATTCATAGCAGAGGGCTTGGAAGGTGGCTCAGTGGTAGAGCGCTTGCCTCACATGCATGAGGCCTGGGTTCGATTCCTCAGCACCACATAAGCAAGAAGAAAAAAGCTGGAAATAGCGCTGTGGCACAAGTGGTAGAGCACTAGCCTTGAGCTGAAGAGCTGAGGGACAGCGCCCAAGCCCAGAGTTCAGGTCCCATGACCGGACCCCAAAAAAAAAAAATTCATAGCAGAGCTCTTCCATAGTTGCAAGTTGTATATTTTCCATTTTCTCCTTAAATTCTTAATTAAACTCTATTGTTCCAACAAAATTTTGTCCCTGATATTGTATCTTTACACTTGCTGGGCACCAGTGGCTCACGTTTGTAATCCCTGCTACTCAGAAGGTTGAGATGTGAGATCACAGTTTGAAGCCAGCCCAGAAAGGAAAATCTGAGAGAGTCCTTTCTCCAATTTACCAGCAATAAGCCTGAAGTGGAACAGTGGCTCAAGTGGTAAAGTGCAAGCTTGAACGAAAAATAAAATGCTAAGGGACAGCACCCAGGCCCTGAGTTCAAGCCTCAGTACCAGCATGCATGCACGTGCACACACATATCTTTAAATGTTCCTATGGTCTATCATAAGGCTCTAATTATTTAAAATTTGGCTCTTTCAAGAGTAATCATGCCAGTTAGTGTTAGGATATGATGAGTGAAAACATTCCTTATAATTGTCCAAAAAAATTTTGTGCTGGTACTGGAGCTTGCACTCAGGGCCTTTCACTCCTACTTGGCTTTTTCCATTCAAGGCTGACACTACCATTTGAACTTCCTCTCCACTCTGGCAATTTGCTGCTTAATTGGGGATAAGAGTCTCATGGAGTTTCTTGCCTAGGCTGGCTTCAAACTGTGATCCTCAGATCTCAGCCTCCTGAGTAGCTATGAGTAGACATGAACCAACAAAGCCCAGCTTATAGTCCAATTTTTAATGAGAAAATCTTTACATAAAGACTTGTTGAAGATAGACAAAGCTTGATAGAGTTTCTTGGGGAGATGTGTGTGTGTGTGTGTGTGTGTGTGTGTGTGTGTGTGTATACAGCAATATTGTTTATTGCTAGAATGAGACAAGATTAAGCATAAATCTCATCCTAGTTTTCCTTTGGTTAAATGTTATCGCACAGAAAAACTCCTTTTCATTAAATGGGAATGGACTTTAGCACTAGTGAATCCTTTTGGAGATCGATGGGGGGAAACTACACAGTGATTTAGTTTCAAAATTATTTTTCATGATTTATCAGCTGAAAACCCATTGGAGTTTTCTTCCATTTTTATTGGAAGCAAACAATTGCAAACAATCTTGAGGTGTGAAAGGATTTGGTCCACATTCATTTGTTAGAGCAATTTGTTGTCTGCCATCCACAGCAGTGTTTGGAATTGTCTCTCTGGCCCCC